GAGAGGAGCTCTTTAGCTGAAATCGAGTGCTGCAGTCCCTGTCCTGACAGGAGATTTCCGCAGCAATGCATGACAGCGACTCATCAGACTGGAAAAATAGTCCTGAAAGCAGCTGTGAGCCTCTTCTCTGAATTATCTGGTGAATTAATTATGAATTAATTATCTGATGAACGTGACATACTGTACTCTTGCTCTCTGTAAATAAAGCAAAGCCACTTCCTCGTCCGACATTAAACAGAGCCCGACAGAGGAGGGAGGGGCGGGGAGGCTCTGCCGTGCAGCGCTTCAAGAGCTGTCCTGCGTCTGACCTCAAAGAGCACAAGCTTCAAACTTCAGCGTTGGCTGCGATTTTGAAGCTGAAATCGCGTTCGGTGTGAACGCACCATAAAGCTCTACATAAGATCAATGCATTATGATTATATATTCTGAGTTACTGATCTGTCCATTATAACAGAAAGCCAAATTATTCTCGACTACACTCAAGTGAAATGCATTGTTAATAAATGTCAAAAATCTAAGTACTTTCAGTAATTAAGTACAGAGGTTTATAGTAACTAATGACATTTACTTCGTTACAGCACTTAAGCAAATTTTTGAGGATTTGTAATTTTACCCAGTATTTTTTAAAATTGTGACTTTTACTTTAATTTTGTTACTTTTAAAACCTAAAAATGATAATTTTGCTTCTTTACTTTAAAGTGTAATACTTGCTTATTTGTTATAAAATAAATCTGCCTGAACTCATCATGAAAGGAGTTGTTTATGTGCTAAAATGAAGTGTTGTATTTACTCAACCGAATCATGTCAGCTATTTCCACTAAAGTAGTAGTAGTAGTAGTAGAGTAAATTTGAGGCAGTATAATACGTATTTTATTTTAAAGAAATTGACCAATTTACTCAACTTGGTTTTGAGGAGCCAGTTTGCTTCAGTAAATTTAACAGCTTATTTGTTAGAGAGCGTACTTTTACTTTCCTAATTTCTGTGAACAGTTTTATGACTTTTATTTAAATGCTTTTCTCATCAGTGACATTTAGAAAAACTCTGCAAAGAGAGTGAGCTATTGTAACCTTAGGGGGACAGAGTTGTTCATGAAACCTAAATTTAGAACATGTTTGAAAGAACGGTGCACCTCAATCCAAGGAGTCAGATTACGGAATATTCAGGAAAATTATGTGAAAAGTGTCAAATCAAAGTACAGGCTCAAGAGAATGATAAAGGTGGGATTGTTGAAAAAATATGAAACAGTAAAATGTGTAACCATGTAATTTGTTGTTCTTGAATGATTTGATGTTCTTGTTTTGTTTTTTGATTATTGTTTAAATTTATACTTGAGGAAAAGGGGGACAGATAGATTTTTTTCTTCTATCTGCTTCCCTTCATTTTGTTGTGTTTGTTTATTTTTTTTTGTTGTGTATACAATTTTGT